GGGAGGCCACTGGATTTGGGAGAGTGGTGCTCAGATAGGCCACTGGGTTGGGTGAGTCTCCTCTAAGTCCTTAGCTAGTGTTGGAGCGGGGTATGAGGTCGAGGGTTATTCCCTTAACCAAGTACTCAAGAAGGTGCGTGGATCCTTGCGGATAGTCGGTGGGCGAACTCCACAATTGACTTGGTTATGCATGCCCAGGTCGTGGTAAGTCCGTACCCAGCTGTGCTATACCTGACGGTGGATCTGGACTTCCAATTGTGTATGTGACATCATCCGAGTAAACCCGAGTGAGGATTATATCCTGTTTAGTTGTGACCGAGCGGGCGCATTGGGCATGAAAACGGTTGGGGTGGTTTCGGTAGGCTGGGATGGCACTTATACAACTCTATTGCTAGGGAGATCTCCTAGGTGTATGCATGACGACACATTAGATGATTGATATGCATTGATATCTGTCATGAGATGCATTTATTGCATGATTATTAATATGATGAAGTGTGGTGTTTGACTTCATGATTGGTGGATTGTATTTTATGCATGAGTAGTATTGGATAGAGTGTATGGCGTGACTCTATGAACATGATTGATAGTTGGATGATGTGTAGTATAGATTTTATTCTGTACTTGTATGATTGGTTTTGAACTCTAGCTTACCCTTCTGTTTCCATGTGGTGGGACTGCGATGATCATACTTGGTATGGGAGCAGGTCAGGGCTAGCTTGGAGTTGAGGTGACCGCTACGAGACGGGGAGTTTGATTCTCGTGTTAGAGTTATCATTTTGGGTAACGGTTTCATCTGTGCTTGACCGGCACTAGAGTCATATTAATTTTTGGATGACTGTATATATATGGTGTTCTTGGAGATCTCCTAGGTGTATGCGTGACGACGCATTAGATGATTGATATGCATTGATATCTGTCATGAGATGCATTTATTGCATGATTATTAATATGATGAAGTGTGGTGTTTGACTTCATGATTGGTGGATTGTATTTTATGCATGAGTAGTATTGGATAGAGTGTATGGCGTGACTCTATGAACATGATTGATAGTTGGATGATGTGTAGTATAGATTTTATTCTGTACTTGTATGATTGGTTTTGAACTCTAGCTTACCCTTCTGTTTCCATGTGGTGGGACTGCGATGATCATACTTGGTATGGGAGCAAGTCAGGGCTAGCTTGGAGTTGAGGTGACCGCTACGAGACGGGGAGTTTGATTCTCGTGTTAGAGTTATCATTTTGGGTAACGGTTTCATCTGTGCTTGACCGGCACTAGAGTCATATTAATTTTTGGATGACTGTATATATATGGTGTTCTATTTTATAACCAGAAACTTAGTTATTTTCATTCTTATTTATACCTGTATGTATGAATTATCCAGCTTAATATTTCTCTTAGTTCACTAGTAGTAGTGCGATCTTTTATTATGTTATACAAATAAATAGGTTAACTTATTAAGCCTAACAAAAAAATTTATAAGCCTTAGTCCAATTTTTTTAAAATAAATATTTTTTTTAAGCTTAAATCTGACCTATTTATTAAAAAGAAGTCAAACTTTAAAGAGGTTAAGTCATAGACCCCATTTATGGCCTATTCTCATCCTTAATGACTAGTCAGGATTACCCAACTTTGCAAGTACTTCCACTAAGTGTAGAGACCATGGCGGGTCGTTACAGATAGAGTAACACTTGTATTTTAGTATTATTCTTTCTAATTGTTTTCAAAATCAAAGTCCCATATCGAGTAAAAAAATTTCACATAGGTTATTTTGCAACATTTTTTTGAAAAAATGTTACTATAATTGCTTCTAAAATCAAAGTCTCACATCAAGTAAAAAAAATATATTTCTCTTATCTTTAATTATTATCCATAATTAAAGTCTCACATCGAATAGATTAATGACTCATAAAGAGTATATATAACCATATAGTTATACTTAAGATAAATGAAATTTGATATTTTATATATAATTAGTGGTAACTAATTAAGAATGTCTTCCCCAAAAAATAACTAAGAATTCCTAGGAGTTTAAGAGGCATAAAAATATAATAATTAATAGTAATATATCTAAATTAAAATTAATTATTATTTTATAAATCAACAAAATATTAGCAACATCATTAAAATTTTACAAAAATACTACTTTGCTAACATTTGAAAAATATTACCTAATTATATAAAAATGTTATTAAAAAGTCTTTAGCAACATAGACTATATTTAACATTTGACAATATGTTGCTAAAGCAAATTAGTAACATTTATGCATAATTAAGTAACAATTTTTAAATGTTACTAAAAGCTATTTGTGTTGTAGTGTAATACATAGCCAACTATTTGATCTCTAATTAATGGATATGTATAGAAAAATATTTATAAAAAGAAGTCAAGTATTTCAATAGATATCAATGTATAAGAGATTAATTTTTGGTTAAAAGATACTTGATTTATAAATAAAAAATAATATAATAAATAGTTTTCTATTATTCAAACATTGTATTGACTTTATTATATGGGACCAAAAATTTACACGACATAAGATCAAATTATATATATATATATATATTTGAAAAATTAAATTACTTAATGGCTTTTTTATTCAAATTTTGAAAATTAAAGGTTGTCTTTTTTTTAATTCGTTTAATTGGTGTAATTTTACAATAATAAATATGGTGAATAATTAAACACATATCTCCAAAAGAAAAAATGGCGATTTGAAAGTTTAAACAAATCTTTCTTTCTTTCTTACAAGAGTTTAAACAAATCTTTTGATACAAGAATAATAATTCATATTAAATTATGATAGATTTACATGCATATAATTATATAAATGTGCATGAGATTTTCCTTCTACCAAAAGTATGGAATGTCAATCTTCACCAATATACAATGAATATGAAATTATAATCATTATCTTGGAGTTAAAGAAAGTGATGTGTACGTGTATATTTCTCACTCGCTCTTTCATCGTCTTCTTTATGTGCCTTAATAGCCAAGAAATGAAAAGCAGTGTCTGTAAGAAAGTGAAGTACCATAATACAATAGTGTGATTAAAAGCTTTCAACATTTCATAATTGACAACTTGTCACTAATACATGGCTGTAAAGCATTATATATCATTGCATTCTCCCTTTTATGTCTTTTCTCCCTCACCCTTTTCTTAATTATTACTCTTACTATTTACATTTGCTTTTCATTCCTTCACTCTTATTCGGAGGACACGTTTTAACTTTAAGAATAAGCGTAAAGCACTTACATTGAAGTGAGAAGAAGCAAAAAAACCTTTACTTGTTTTTCTTATTTAAATTGATAGTATTCAAGTAAATAGAAATAGTGTTATGCTCGTAGTCTCCTCTAAGTCCTTAGCTAGTGTTGGAGCGGGGTATGAGGTCGAGGGTTATTCCCTTAACCAAGTACTCGGGAAGGTGCGTGGATCCTTGCGGATAGTCGGTGGGCGAACTCCACAATTGACTTGGTTATGCATGCCAAGGTCGTGGTAAGTCCGTACCCAGCTGTGCTATACCTGACGGTGGATCTGGACTTCCAATTGTGTATGTGACATCATCCGAGTAAACCCGAGTGAGGATTATATCCTGTTTAGTTGTGACCGAGCGGGCGCATTGGGCATGAAAACGGTTGGGGTGGTTTCGGTAGGATGGGATGTCACTTATACAACTCTATTGCTAGGGAGATCTCCTAGGTGTATGCATGACGACACATTAGATGATTGATATGCATTGATATCTGTCATGAGATGCATTTATTGCATGATTATTAATATGATGAAGTGTGGTGTTTGACTTCATGATTGGTGGATTGTATTTTATGCATGAGTAGTATTGGATAGAGTGTATGGCGTGACTCTATGAACATGATTGATAGTTGGATGATGTGTAGTATAGATTTTATTCTGTACTTGTATGATTGGTTTTGAACTCTAGCTTACCCTTCTGTTTCCATGTGGTGGGACTGCGATGATCATACTTGGTATGGGAGCAAGTCAGGGCTAGCTTGGAGTTGAGGTGACCGCTACGAGACGGGGAGTTTGATTCTCGTGTTAGAGTTATCATTTTGGGTAACGGTTTCATCTGTGCTTGACCGGCACTAGAGTCATATTAATTTTTGGATGACTGTATATATATGGTGTTCTATTTTATAACCAGAAACTTAGTTATTTTCATTCTTATTTATACCTGTATGTATGAATTATCCAGCTTAATATTTCTCTTAGTTCACTAGTAGTAGTGCGATTCCACTAAGTGTAGAGACCATGGCGGGTCGTTACAGATAGAGTAACACTTGTATTTTAGTATTATTCTTTCTAATTGTTTTCAAAATCAAAGTCCCATATCGAGTAAAAAAATTTCACATAGGTTATTTTGCAACATTTTTTTGAAAAAATGTTACTATAATTGCTTCTAAAATCAAAGTCTCACATCAAGTAAAAAAAATATATTTCTCTTATGGTCGTTACAGATAGAGTAACACTTGTATTTTAGTATTATTCTTTCTAATTGTTTTCAAAATCAAAGTCCCATATCGAGTAAAAAAATTTCACATAGGTTATTTTGCAACATTTTTTTGAAAAAATGTTACTATAATTGCTTCTAAAATCAAAGTCTCACATCAAGTAAAAAAAATATATTTCTCTTATCTTTAATTATTATCCATAATTAAAGTCTCACATCGAATAGATTAATGACTCATAAAGAGTATATAAGATCGGAAGTTAAAGGAGAAGAAGATAAAGTCTTGAGATTAAAGAAAGTTCTTTATGGATTGAAACAAGCTCTGAGAGCTTGGAATGTTCGGATTGACAAGTACTTTAAAGAAGCAAATTTCATCAAGTGTCCATATGAGCATGCACTCTATATCAAAGCTCAAGGTAAAGATATTTTGATTGTATGCTTGTATGTCGATGACTTGATCTTTACAGGGAACAATCCAAGCATGTTTGAGGAATTCAAGAAGGATATGACCAAGGAGTTTGAAATGACCGACATGGGGCTTATGGCATATTATCTCGGAATTGAAGTAAAGCAAGGAAACGAAGGAATTTTTATTACTCAAGAAAGCTATGCTAAAGACCTCCTCAAGAAGTTCAAGTTGGATGATGCTAATCCAGTTGGCACTCCTATGGAATGCGGCATCAAGTTGAGTAAGGATGAAGAGGGAGAAAAGGTGGATCCAACCCTCTATAAAAGTCTTGTTGGAAGTTTGCGCTATTTAACTTGTACAAGACCAGACATTCTCTATGCCGTTGGAGTCGTGAGTCGGTACATGGAAGCTCCAACAACTACTCACCTCAAGACTGCGAAGAGGATTCTTCGATATATCAAAGGTACGACAAGCTTTGGCCTATACTACTCAAATTCTAACGATTACAAGCTTGTTGGATATAGTGATAGCGATTGGAGTGGAGATATGGATGACCGAAAGAGCACAAGTGGATTTGTGTTCTACATGGGAGACACAGCCTTTACTTGGATGTCCAAGAAGCAGCCTATTGTCACTTTGTCTACATGTGAAGCAGAGTATGTAGCTGCAACTTCATGCGTTTGCCATGCTATTTGGCTACGCAACCTATTGAAGGAGTTAAGCTTGCCACAAGTGGAGCCAACAAAGATTTACGTGGACAACAAGTCGGCAATAGCATTAGCAAAAAACCCAGTCTTCCATGATCGAAGTAAGCACATCCACACCCGTTACCATTACATTAGAGAATGCATCAGCAACAAGGATGTGCAAATGGAATATGTGAAGACGCATGATCAGGTAGCAGATATCTTCACCAAACCGCTGAAGAAAGAAGTCTTTATGAAGTTGAGAAGTTTGCTTGGAGTACAAAATCAAGTTTAAGAGGGGGTGTTGGAATATAAATTGATTTTGTATGTTGGGCTTAAAAGATAAAAGCCCAATATTAGCAAAGGCCCAAATAGAATTCTAGAAAATCCTATCTAAAAGATTCTAGAATGATGTACAAAATATCTATAGATGTTTATCCATAAGATGTTTCTAGATAAGTTTAGAAAAGTTTAGAATTGTAGGAATGTTTTAGAAAGTTCTAGAGAATGAATTATAGCCCTTAGATGAATGTTGTGGTGGCAAGATCCTAACCATTGGTTAAGGAGGTGCCACTAGTATAAATAGGGGATGGTTGTATCATTTGGAAGTACGCCAAAAAGTTTAGAAGCATTCAATACAACAAGCCTTTCTTTCTCTCAAAATCTTCCAACCTCTCCCAATCTTAAACACTTCCTTCTAGCCTTTAAAGTTTCTTCCTAACAGTACGCTCTAGTCCTATGGGATTTACATAAGTCATGGGGGTTTCCACACCAAGTATACTCACCCTCAAAGTCTAAGCTAAACCTATCATGACCTCCACCACCCATATTAATAACTACCTTCCCCCATAAAAATTACATTGTCATGATGCATGTCTTATACAATGAATATACACTATTTTTACAAGACAAAATTGAGCCTAGTTTGCCTCTCACAAGCTAGGTAACTTGTTACAATGATTTCATGTGTCTTATATATCACCACAATTCATATCTATCATGAATATTAAACACCATATCATTAACAAATCAACATTTTCAAAGCAATCATTATTTATTCATTATATACACTCTCGCTTAGCAAAGACAACCTTGCTTGGTAACTAAGCTCCTCTTAGTGCAAATTCATGCATGTTAAGTGTGATCATTTCAAATTTTCAACTCTTCTTTCCCTCGCTTAGTGAGACCATTGGCTCGCTTAATGCTTAACCTACAATACCCTTTGTTATTGTCACACTTAGTTGGGAACTTTCATGCTTAGCATTAGGACTCTAGTGGCTCTTTATGGCTCCCTTTCTTTAAGTAGGCCTTCCTATACTTGGCATCAAAACTCAAAAGGCTCTTTGTGGCTCTCATGCTAGTGAGAGTTCACTATCACCTAACGTCATATTCTTGTGACTCTCTATGATTATCACACTTATTGAGAGTTTGTTCTTGCTCAACATCAAATATGCAAGGTTCATTAAGACTTTCTTACTTAAATAGGATTTTTGTGCTTAGCAGCGACAATACAAAATTTTTTGCAAATTAGGTTTTTCCACCTATTAGGGTTCCTACAAAACTAACCATTATACCTAATCACCATAAGTTCTCTTGAAGACATTTTACCACATATTCATAGTCAATTATGGCTTACTAATTAAGCACATTACCACAACAATTCAAAGAAAAGATACAGACATTCTATCAAATCACATCTAAGATTCAATAAAAATCAATACATACCAAAATATCAAAAATCACATTACATGTTCAATTTAGAAATTACACATGTTAGGAATTTGGGGAACATTACATTCCCCTCGCACACAAACACAAAATAGCAAATAATTGAGGGTTAGAGAAAATCTTTCTATCCACGACTTATGTCACATCTAAAAGTAAGACAATCTCACTCTACTTTTGAAGAAACAATACGACAAAAGGTTGTAAGAGGAACAACAATTTTCTTACGATTCTTCGTTCTCGAGGACAATGACTTCAATAAAAACAAGAGTTCCAATAGATAGAAAACAAAAGAACAAAATTAGGTTCTAAAACTTGAAAGATTTCTTAAAAGAGTGCTCTTTGAAAGATTTCTTAAAAGAGTGCTCTTTGAATTTATGAGAATGAAAATCCTAAAAGACAAATTTAGTCTTAATTGATCAATTTTTCCCACTCATATTCAATGATTTTATGGGTTTTACTACCCAACTTTTGAATATACACATTTTAGCATTTAACTTTAATCTTTTTTGCATATTTTGTCACGTCAACGATTCACTATTGAACATCGTTAGTTGATTATTGAGATAACGCGTTAATTGCTGATGTAACATATTAAATATTAAGTAGCATATTGACAATTAACGTGATACATTATGTGATATTGTCATTTATTTACCACTTCATCGATCCACATTTAATACGTAATATTTAATATTAACAGTTAATATGTCACATCAATAATTAATATGTTACATCAATAATTACTTAATGACATAATAAGATCAACTAAAAAATAATAAAATTTTAAAAGTTAAATAATAAAATTTGTAAAATCATAAAATGAGTGACAAAAAATTACATTTAAGCCAAATATTTTTGCTCGTTAACAAATAAAAGTGGCAGTTAACAAAAAAAAAAAAGGATTTACACGTCGTGCGGGGCACGTGAGCAGTCGTTCGAAGCAGTGATTTAAAAACCGGACCGAACCGGCCGGTCGGACCGGGAATCGGTGGTCCAGCCGGTCCGAATCTTAAGTTGGATCGGTTATGCAGTTGACCCGTTTCAAACCGGATTGAACCGGTCAATTTTCCGGTTCAACCGGTGAACCGGTGGGTCAAACCGGTTCAACCATTTTTTTTTTCTTTTTTTTTTTCTAAATTTTTTTAGGGGACCATAAATCACAAAAAATAATAATGAAAATTGAATCTCTTAATGAAAAAGCAAGGAGTCTTATTAAATATAACAATGACTACTTGTTCTAATATATTTGTTTGCAATATATACAACTTAAATAACTTTTATAATATATTATTAATTTTAAATTATATATTTAATAATGCAATATCTATGTAAATATTACATATATTATTTTGTGATATTAATTGCAAGCATATTATATATGTACATATTATTTATATTTTTAATTTGTATTAATATACCGTTTAACATGTAATTTTTTTATGTATTTTTTTACAAAATAAAAATAAAAATAATTTTAAATAAGATAGAAAAATTGAAATTTAAAATAAGATGTGAATTTATTAAAATTTATAAGTATAAAATATATTTAATATGAATATTTTTTAATAAAAATAAATAAAAACCGAGTCATGCGGTTCAACTAATGACCCACCGGTTCAACCTTTGACCCACTAACTCAGTACCTTAACCGGTTCGATGACCGGTCCGGTTTTTAAAACTATGGTTCGAAGCACCGTTACTCTTTAGGCACTCGCCTTCCTCCCCTCTCTCTCCTCTTTCTCAATCCAATTTCCCAAGGTCGGCACACTTTAACCACCATCGGGTGTCTTCTTCATTTCATCACCGCGCAACCAACGCAACTACATTTCCTGCCCCAATTCCCTTTTATTCGTCCCTGTTCAAACTCCGAACCAGGCTCAGAACAAGCACGTGCACGTCACATGCTCATGCCCCATGGCTCCTCCTGCTACCTCCGAACGCGTCGAGTTGGCCAGGCTCTGCGCCTCCAAGGACTGGTCCAAGGCCATTCGAATCCTCGATTCCCTCATTTCTCACTCCGGCGCAATCCAAGACCTATGGTATTCGGTCCTATTTCACTTCCCGTTTTTCTCTCGTGCATTATTCTCAATGCTTCGCATATTCGTACACGGTGCTAATTGTGACGCCCGATCTTCTTCCGATTGTTGCTTTCAGCAACCGAGCCTTCTGTTACAGCAAATTAGAGCTTCACAAGCACGTGATTAAGGATTGCGATAGAGCGCTTCAGCTTGACCCTACGCTTCTTCAAGCTTATATTCTCAAAGGTTCTCTTCTCCCCTGTCGAAATTCGACTTCATGCCGTCTTTTGCTGTAATTCAATATGTGCTCTTATTGCCTATCCTGTTTGCGTGTTTTTTGGAATTGGTAATTGAATTGAACTAGTTAGGTTTGAGAAAAACGCAATCTATTAGCCTATTTTTCTTGTGTATATCGCCTTGGAAATTCACTGAGCCGCTTTTTGACTTTATCTGACTAGTTCCCCTGGGGTTTTTCAGACATGCGATCCTCTGATCAATTAAATAGATTGAATAGTTTAACAATTATTATAATCTGAAACCAATGTGGCCGAGAGAAAAGGCATTTTATCTCCGATGAAGAATATTGTTGATTGTTGCATGACTTTTAGTTTACGATGAAGGTTTTAACGAAATCTTCTCATGCACAACGTATGTCTTATCTTTTATGAACTTAGGGCTGGTTTATTCTGTTATCTAGGTTCTGCACTCTCTCTGTTGGGAAGGAAAGAAAATGCTCTGTTGGTGTGGGAGCAGGGCTATGAACATGCTCTGCATCAGTCTGCAGATTTGAAACAGCTGCTAGAACTTGAAGAGCTTGTGGAAACAGCAAAACACAGCAACAATGCACTGTGTGAAAGTGAAATCCATAGGCCATCCATGCCGCAAACCAAACCAGATACTCTGAGTAATGAGAACTCGACTGAAACTTGTAAGATCCAACATATGTTGGGCTCTCAGGCTGAATCTTGTGCTGATGCTAGTGATAAATCTGAGAAATGCCTGAAGTCGGCTGATAATTTTGACTTAAAAATTGAATCACGTGATGAGGATAGGGATTCTAATAAATCTGATGGCCAAGTAAATGGAAGCCATGATGTTCTTGATACACTTAGTTACAATTCTGAATCATGCAATGACTCAAGCGATGCCTCAGAATCATGTGAAAAAGTATCTACCAATAGTGGTGTCTCAGTTAATATCCCTGAAAATTTTAGAAACCCAATTAGTAAGTTTATATTTTCTGATGAAAGAAAAGGTGAAGCAAGGAAAGATAATAAGTTCTGCGTCGCTCGGATTTCAAATACAAATTCAATTAGTGTAGATTTTCGACTCTCAAGGGGTATAGCTGAGGTTTGTTTCCATGCTTTTAATTGAATAAGTAAATTGTATAATAACTTCTGTGTTGTTGTATTTATTATTTTAAGAGCATATTTGATATTATGTTTCCTTTTCAGGTTAATGAAGGAAAATATGCTCATGCCGTATCCATTTTTGACAAGGTGAAAAATTGTCCTAACTAGTGATTATCTTGGTTTCATCGTTTCATGCCTTTTTTATCTTGTTCTCTCTCTTTTTTCTTTCCTACTATTAAATAACATAATATGGTCTTCCCCCATCATTTATGCAGATACTGAAAAAGGACCCAGCTTATCCTGAGGCACTAATAGGAAGAGGTACAGCATATGCATTCCAGAAGGAACTTGATGCTGCTATAGCTGATTTTACAAAGGTATTTGAATGAACACTGTCTAACAGGTGTATATAGGCTATAGAGATATTGTATTTATCTATATGTAAATAGTTTACATGTATGTATTAGGCTATACAATTTAATCCATTGGCTGGTGAGGCATGGAAAAGAAGAGGTCAGGCCAGAGCAGCCTTGGGAGAGTTTGTTGAGGTGAGCACTGACCACTTCTTAGAACTTAGTATCTGTCTAACATGTTGAAACTATCAAGGTTGGGAGTCTGCATCAGCAACCCTTTGTTTATATACTTTATGAAATAATCAGTTCTATTACAGATAATGAAAATGTGAAGGAAATTTCTTTGTTTCCTTTTTTTATGCTAAGTCTTGTTCAAGTACTATTTAGCATTGCCATGGTAAGCCTTAGGATTTTAGTTTAATAATTGAACACTTAATTGTGTTGGTGCTAAATGTTATCTCCCTTGGCAAGTGTACCAAATCGTATAAGTAGTTCAATGAAAGTATGAGTATCGTCTCTCAAGGGACTTGCGTAACACTTTACAAATTCACTTGTTATACTAATTAAGCTACCGGAAAGCAATAAAAGTGCAATTTGTTGCAGTAAATAATGTAAGCAAATAATAAGAATTCTTTTTGGTATTTTGGTAAATTCTTAGAGTGCAAAACTTGATTCTAATGCAATATTAATAAATGTTGGGGTTTGACTTCACTAAACCTTCCTCTTATGGTTATCACTAAGCTCACAATAGTTATCATTCGGAATTTATCAATCACTCTAAAAAATAACCAACCCTAATCTCTTATAAGTTGGCATCTAAGTTGCTCACTTAAACTATTAATCTCTTGCATAGTTTAACCAAGAAACCAGCTTTAAAAACTAGAGCTTAAGAAAGACCAATGACATTTACTCTATCTCTAGCAATAAGCACCATTAGCTGCTCTATTTCATTTCAAAGGTTTAAAATCATTTCTCAATCTTTTAAAAACCTCTAGTTCAAGTTAAGGGTGATCAAGCCATAACAAACATTATGCACAAAAACAGAGCAATAAAACTGAATAACAACTGAGATTGATTACTTAGAGTTTACACATGAGAATGGGTTTGGTTACATCAAACCCCAACAAGGGTGAAGTTAGCTACACATAGACATGTAGAACTTTACAAATGATGAAGAAAGGAAGAAGCTTGATCTTGAAGGTTCCAGAGCTCTCCAGCCGCCACACAAACTCCAAGAATGATTCCTCTTTGCTTTCTCCTCGAAAATATCCTCTTTTAGGTCATAAAAGCTTTTGTCTTATGTAAATAATGACATGTCAGCACAATCCACACTTAGAGTGAGATGCCATGCTAAGCTTGCGGATAGGTCTGGAAAGAAATGAGTTTCTAGGACTCTCACGCTCAGCGCCAATTCCACGCTCAGCTTGAGGATTAAATTTTGTTCCAGTGATTCTCTGCCAAGCTAAGGCTAAGCGTGGATCTGAGGCTTAGCCTGGAGACTTAAGCAAAAATTTCTTCTACTTTGAGTTCATCACTTTGTCCTTGGCTTCCTTCCTCCTTTCCTAACTTTCTCCCAAACTACAAAATAACAACCAAATACTTGTGAGTTACCTAAAAACATGATTCAAAGACAAAAGGTGATCACCTAACAATTTAGATATGTTTTGAGTTAAAAAAAAAGATCTAAAGCAAGGAAACTTGATTTAAGTGCTTCAAATTAGGCCATAAACTTAATGAAATCATAGCACTTATCACTAAACTAATGTGGTTATCAAGAATTCTGTGGTCCTTTTATCTTGCTAGATTCAATGTTATTGAAGTCTCTATGTGTGATCTACAAGAGCTTATGTGATTTGTATAAGAAGTTGGAGATATGAAAAGATTAAAATATTTTTTATATGCTTTGGTGCAAATATCAACATGTAAAGGTGACCATTGCTGTTTCCCCCCTCTCTTGATATGGATATCAGGCTATTGAGGACTTGACCAAGGCATTAGAATTCGAACCTGACACAGCAGATATTTTACATGAGAGAGGTAGCTTGTCTTTAACTAGTTTGATATTTGGATAATTGATTTGTGCTGGACTGGAATAATTAAGTATGCCTATATTTTGCTTACTTTGTTGCTGCAACAGTAGGTGAATGTATGTTGTGGTAATTTCTAGAAGTTCAGACAGAGAAATAGATTAGTTTTCTGTAGCATGGGCATGATTATTGTTTTTATTTTTTACCCTTAATATATGTTGTGCAAGCATACATTTCCAATGAAGCATTAACTAATTTGGAATTACTAGATTTATTTATGTTTCCATTACTGGATGCCCATCCATGTGTACATAGATGATATTACAGGCCCATTTGTTTAAATTTTTTCTTCAAAAAAACCATTTCTTATTAGAGTATAGGATTTTACTCTTGTATTTTTTTTCTTGGTATACTCTCGTGTTTAGTTATTTAGTTTGTTGCCAGTCTGTTGTAACTAAGCTACTCTAGACTGGACTAGGCATTACTTTGTGGGTTTCTGTACTATTTTAGGAATGTATCTGTTAGGATCTGTATTATTTTCTAATATATAAAATAGACTATAATTTAAATTAGGAAGTTCCAACAAATCAAGGGATTATAGCTTAGAATAGGGAGATATTTTGTTTCCACAACTAGTGTTGGAACAGTTGAACCCTTATTTTTCAAGACTAATGTATGTCATACTTAAATTTCAATGCAGGAATTGTCAATTTCAAATTTAAAGAGTTTGATGCAGCTGTTGAAGACCTTTCAGCTTGTGTGAAGCTAGATAAGGATAATACATCTGCTTACACATATTTGGTGGGCCTTGAATGTTAATACTTGAATCCTCATTGATTTTTGACTTTGATGTTGTTTTTCAGATCTTATATGGAAGGTCTCTTCTGTCTTTCGCTGAACAAATTGACTTTACAGGGTTTAGCATTATCTTCAATTGGTGAATACAAGAAAGCTGAGGAAGCTCATCTGAAATCACTTCAACTTGACAAAAATTTCCTTGAAGCATGGGCACATCTGACTCAGGTGTCTATTGTCTATCATAACCATACCGCACTAATAGTTTGATCATATTAAATAAATGAATGTATACTTCAAATATGTTTAGTTTTATTCTTGAATTCGCCCTGTTATCTCATATCTGGCTTCACTGCTTTCATCCATGTCATTTCTGTCTGCCTGTAATTCAATTTACTTATTCAACTTGACTTGAAGTACCCATTACAGTTGTTGTTAGATGATTTTTCTTGCTAGCTTTGGTCCGAATATGTATTTAACGGTTTTATCAAAGATTTAGCAATCATAGGTTAATAGCTTAATCTTTGGTCTGAATATGTATTTGGCAACACTATCAAAATCTAGCAGCCATAGGTTAATACTAATAGCTATAAGTATGCTGCTCCTTTTCTGCCTAATTATCAGTTTGGGCTTAAAGGTTTCCTGTTGGATAAGTTTAATTGGTAATGTTGTTCTGAATGTGTGGTTATTGTGCAGTTCTATCATGATTTAGCACAGCCAACAAAAGCTCAAGAATGTCTAGATAAGATGTTACAAATTGATGGGAGGTAATTGTCTTGTATCAGCATTTTTTTCTGTGGGCTTCTTCTACCTGATGTACTTTGTGCCTATTCTCTTTACCCAAGTTTGTTTGCTTTTGCATTTTGATGTTAGGTTTGCAAGAGCTTATCATTTGCGTGGCCTTCTGTTCCATGCAATGGGTGAGCACAGGTATTTGTACAGCCATACTTGCTGATCAATTGGAGTTGAATATTTATTTGAAGTGACATTTTTACTTGTCATGAGTCTTGAGGATTTGGTCCATGAACACTAGTATCTATACTTCTATACCCATACTAATAATAAAGGGGATATCTCTTTTTGGTGGAATATTTATTTGAAGTTACATTTTTACTTGTCATGAGTCTTGATGAGTTTGTCCATGAACACTAGTATCTATACTTCTATACCCATACTAATAATAAATTTTGTATCTCTTTTTGGTTTATGCATTTTTGGATCATTTGTCCTTATAAGTTATAATTATCTGTTCCAATTTTTTTTTTAATTTAGTTACTTCCTTCTTTTTTTACTTCACTATAAACATCTCACATGCACCCTTTTAAGTAACCACCCACTGTATTATCTCTTTTTGTTTTGTTTTATTTTATTTTAAAAAATAGAGTGGCACAAAGTGCCTCTTTTCCCCCTAGTAAGATATAACAGCACTCTCACTAACAGATATGGAAAGATCATGAGTATAAGAATAGTTGGTAATACTGGTTTTAGGAATTAAGGAAAGATCATGTCTGGAACTTAGATTACTTACTGTTTTGCAATAGTTGAGATGGAATCTCATAAGAGTTTCATTTTCTATTTTGAAAATTTAGGTTTGTATTAGAGAACAAGCACTCAGGAAGATTTATGTTGTGATTGTGAGTATTACTGAAGTCTTAAACTCAATTTCTAGAATTTAAGGGAGTTAAATGGTCAGCTACTGGCACAGCTATTTTGATTCACAATCTAGGATTTTAGAGTGATAAAGTGGATGAATTATTTGACAATGGGTGACAATGGGTACTGGTAAAAGTATAACTATAATGATTTGTTGAATTTGAATTTATAATGGCACCTAAGGTCCATGTAAATTGCTTTTAAATATTTCACACCAATCATTGATGTTAAAATTTTCAGTTTGGTACTCTGTTCTGTTAGTTGTTTTTATGTTTAACTTGGGTTTGGCTGTACAGAAAGGCTATCAAGGATTTGACAACGGGATTGAGCATTGATGGCAGCAACATTGAATGTTTGTATTTACGAGCTTCCTGCTACCATGCTGTTGGACAATACAAAGAAGCAGTATGAATTTTTTTAATTTAATTTTTGGGTGCAATATTGGTTTATGTTTGTCATGCTACAACATTTTTTAATGGTCTCAGGTCAAGGATTATGATGCTGCACTGGATTTGGAACTCGATTCAATAGACAAGTTCGTGCTCCAATGCCTTGCCTTTTATCAGGTATCTTTTATTGAAATAGCATCTTTGTACCTCATCTGTTTTTATCTTATCTTATTCTACTGATCAAATGGAATATAAATAAATTTCCTTCTATGCTACAAGATCTACTATCAGTGACACAATGTTGACAGTATTGAGTAGTGACATGTCACAGTGAACATTCATTTAGAGCAGGAGATTATAGCACTACCAATATAAAAATTGCTAGTATGCTAATTTGGACATGTGAAATTGTGTTGGCATGTTCTGAAATAATTCTGCTCCCTTCTGCTTTAGTTCCTCTGTTGCTTAGTTATGTCAACATTGAGACACTTTAGAACTTGCCTTCCCTTGATTCAGCTACATATAACTAAATAGTTCTGTCCACATTTTTGGGAATAATAAAATTCTCCTGATTTATGTGCTATTGGTGCTACGGGAATTAATATTGTACTATTAAGTTTCATCCATCAAGAGCCTAGTTCTATGATGTGCTTCAACCCTTTTTTTCTTTTGCAGAAAGAGATTGCTCTGTACACAGCCTCAAAATTTAATGGTGATTTTTGCTGTTTTGATATTGATGGGGATATTGATGCACTTTTTAAGGTAAAATTTTTGCAAACAATTTTACTTTCCTTGTTACTTCTCATCTTTTTTTTTTTTTTTTAATTCAAATGCGTCTTAATTGGAAATCCCTGTTTACTTGACTTTAGGATTTCTTGGTTGCTATGTGTTGATAGTGGTCATGTGTGTAAAGTAGGCCGCTTATCATAAAAACAGGAAGAATAAAAGAAAATCTAAGATTTTTACAAAAATGCGTATGGGGAATTTAATGTGGGTTTAAAATGATGTTTAGCTAGTAGGTTTTAAATCATGTTGTACTTGGTTATTCACATTTTGTAAAGCATGAGTATAGATTCCCATTTCTAGGATAGTTATTTGTATCTTCATTATATTCAGGAATACTGGTGCAAGAAATTGCATCCAAAGAATGTATGCGAAAAGGTTTTCAGGCAACCTCCTTTACGTGAGTCGTTAAGAAAGGGAAAGCTTAAAAAGCAAGAGTTTACTATTACCAAGCAGAAGGCTGCTCTTCTACTCGCTTCAGATTCCATTGGCATGAAAATCCAATATGATTGTCCAGGATTCCTACTTAATAAACGTCAGGTAAAGCTATTTCTGATTTTCTGCTCTTCTATATCTTGTGACTTATTGATTTTATTGTAGTCATTTCCTTTCTTTTTCAACAAATTCTTCTGAGGGCCCTTTTTATTTCCCAATGGTCTTTGGTGTGCCATATTATACTTTTCTTTGCTCTAATAGATCTAGAAAAGGATTTTGTTGCATCCAAAAAAATCTGATCCTTTTTCATATGTTGTAAAATCAAAGAAACCTTTTATTTTTAATTTTATTTCCCAAAGTAAAAACATGCTATTTTCATAGAATCATATAATTTATGTTGGCTTTCAATTAACTTCTGGACTCTTTATTCTAGATATGTGCAAGTTATGATATATTTTTCCTTTATAATTTCACGCTTTCATTTTAAAGTGACTTGCATCCAACGAAAAATTTAGGATATTCTCATTATTGTTGGTAATATCATCTTTTTAACCTGTCTATATCTGTATGTTAATATTTCCTTATTGTCAGCATCGAATGGCTGGACTTGCTGCAATTGAAATTGCACAAAAGGTCTCAAAGGCTTGGCGTTCCCTGCATGCTGAATGGAAATATTCAACTAAAGGAAACTCAAAGAATGGAAAAAGAGCCAGGAGAAGGGAAAGAATTAATATGCCCAGCCAAAATAGAGGAGGTGCTGGTTGTAGTACAAGCAGCACCATGGTAACATCTTTAAATGGAACTGTTGATGATAGATCATCCAGCCGTACATTGTCATGGCATGATGTTTACTCAGTAGCTGTTAGATGGAGGCAGATTTCTGAGCCTTGTGATCCTGTTGTGTGGGTGAACAAACTAAGGTATCCCATCTTTGGGCTAAGTATTCTATTAGAGCACAGCACATTCTGTGTATACATGATTTATTGCTCAAATTTTACAATCTTTCAGATCTAATATTTATATTCAGGGTATACATAGATTTTCATTTTATCTCCACCTCTGCTGTCCTTTTGCAAATGCTTTTTGTTGTTGTTGTTATTTTGTGTCGTTTTAGATTTGTTTGATACAGAGATACCACAGAAATTTTGTTAGCTAAGTTGATTTTTTTGCTTAAACTTAAACAAAAAACTGCAGCAATTTATTATTCCATTAAGGACCATAATAAAGTACAGAACTGCCCTTACTTTTAAAACTTGGATGACTCAAGTTTTACTGTTGAAAGGAGGAAAATGAATTATCAGTGGAACTAGGGTGACAAAGTATATTTAACCTTCATATTATTTTCCACTTTTAGTTCTTTCACTTTGCGGATTGTATTGCTAAGAGTGATTTTACATTTATTCAAATTATGCAATCAAAAAGGTCATGTTCTTTTATTGTGAGGTATATACTTTATTTATGATAGTAGGCTCAGAATTATATTGGTCCTGGTTGGATAAGTTTCTGCCTTTATTGATTGCCAGTCTCATAGCAATATTGATTTATGTGCCTGGTTTTTCCTCAGATTATTAAAGAGTTGGACTTAAGACCTTGTGTTGGATTTTGAATTTATTTATTTTTGTTTTGCACAGCAGTGAAGAGTTTAATTCTGGATTTGGTTCTCACACACCTATGATTCTTGGGCAAGCCAAAGTTGTCCGTTACTTTCCTAATTATGAAAGGTGAACATCCTGTTTTAATTGATTTATTTTATTCCATATTAGTAGACTGGCTTTGAAAGGAACATTATGACATCATTGATACATGTAACCAACCCCTTGTGGAGGGAAAAGGCTTGGTTGTTTTTGTTGTACCGTAGAAGATTGGCTTTGAAAATTATTGATATTTTTAAATTTCACAGGATATTAGTAATTGCAAAGACTGTAATGAAAGAGAGATCATATGTCCGCAGCAAAACAGATAACATCATTCATCTTTCCGATGATGGGAAACTAGAAGAGGTATGTTGTTGATTGTTGATTTCAATATGTTGTGCCTCTTTCCTTTAAACATTGCTTGATTTACTCTATGCAAAAGGCCCCCTCCATGACTTTTAACCCCAAAAGGTGTGACTTTGGACAAGTTCTATTTTTCTTGTTTCATGTCAGCAGTGAACTTCTTATGCCATTGTTTGGCTGGGTGATACACTGAAGTTGTACTTGCAGGATAGGCATATTTTATTCTTTATAAATTGAATTTTTAGTAGACCTGGTTTCTACGTGCACACACAACATGTCAGGATAATCAAAGTACTACAGCACACAGCAGCCATTGTTATCATTAGATAGGTTGAATGTGTACCTAAGAAAGTTGCATGATAGACTGGGTTCCAGATTCTTTTCTCTTGCTTTTGAATAATATCAAATTTTAATTTAATCAGAGTCCCTTGCTGATGTTACATTTATTTTGTTTTATAATGGTTTGAAGAACAATATTTTTGTACTTAAGAAGTCTATCCTTTTATGAGAACGGAAACTTTAATGATTTATATGCAGATTATGCATGCAAAATCATGCTCTGATCTTTATAAAGTTGTTGGTGAGGATTTTTGGTTGGCTACCTGGTGCAACAGTACTGCATTTGAAGGGTAAGAGTCCACAGTGCTAACATTGTCTGGAAACATGTAGCTTCTTTAATGTTTACTTTTTGGATGCTATTGTTTCTTCAGGAAGCAGCTTGAAGGGACTAGGATAACCCTTGTAAAAATGTAAGCTAGATACTATCCTGGCAAAAATTTCAAGTTATCGTCTTCCACATTTTCTTTTCATGGTTGTAAAATTTTACTTTTAACACGCCTGTAATTTATTGGGAAACTGAACATGTTTTTCAGGGGGGAGCACGGTTTTGACTTTGCAATCAGAACACCTTGTACACCTGCCAGATGGGAAGATTTTGACGAAGAAATGGCAATGGCATGGGAAGTATGTTTCTCATACTGAACCACTTTTAGTATATAATTTAGCTGTGTTGAATTGCTGATAGTGATAGATATGCCCCTTTATATGGCCATTTTGTGGCTTATTTCTAAAGTAAGAATGTTTATTTAACATCCTTACCAGTGATCTCATTCTCATGCCATTTGTGTCATTCAATCATTGTTAATATTTCCATGGCCTTTGTCAACTTTAGAAATTTTCAAGCAGATATTTTTTATTCTTGAAATTTCATTTGAAAACATGTTTTCGTTATTTATGGCTCAAGTTATCAGATGAATTGTAATATTTAACCTTGTATCCATCTTGGAACTGTTGTATCAGACTCTATGCAATGCTTACTGTGGTGAAAATTATGGGTCTACTGATTTCAACATGCTTGAAAACGTGCGAGATGCAATTTTGAGGATGACATATTACTGGTATGACATTTGCAAAACGGGTAAATTATATTTGATTTTGAGCATTTGAAAATCATTTGTGTCAATCTGATTGAACTGCTTTTCAGGTATAACTTCATGCCACTGTCTAGGGGATCTGCTGCAGTTGGATTTATAGTTATGTTGGGCTTGTTACTAGCTGCGAATATGGAGTTCACAGGAAGCATTCCACAGGGCTTACAGGTTGATTGGGAAGCCATTTTGAACTTAGATCCAAACTCCTTTGTGGACTCGGTTAAAACGTGGCTGTACCCATCTCTGAAGATGACAACCTCATGGAAAGACTATCCTGATATTACGTCAACTTTTGCAACAACAGGTTCAGTTGTTGCTGCTTTGAACTTTTCTGATGATTGAACTCCTGTAATTATGACCGTGTGAGTTAATTGCATATTAACTGTGACGGTTTTGTATACTGTAACCATATGTTAGAGATTATACAATAAAGTTATTATAGCATTGGATGAAAAATTACCATTTCTCTTCACCTTTTTTTCAACAATCACTACTTACCTAGCTGGTCCTCTCGCTCGGTCCCAATAAAGAGTGATAAAAGACGCATGCTTTCTGTTCGTGTTTTACTTGTTAAATCGTTGGCAGCGACATCGGTTCTATCATAATTCCTTACATTCTATCTTTTTCAACCTTCCATTTTTTCCCTGTTTTAGCTATACACTATTCTCGTAATACCTCAAGGGTAGGTATACGTCCATGATTGAGATGTCAGTCTGTCAGTAGTATTTTATTGTTCAGTGCGCAGAAAAAACCAAAACAGGTTAGGTCAGATAAGGCGCATAAATCCAACTTTACTGAAAAAAGATCTGTGAATTTTGCAAGAGGTCATATAATAATATTGATAGGGGAATATCTTACGATTAAACACCACCAACTTGTTTTATCCTTTTTATGAACTGTTCTCGTGCTCTGAATGTTTTCTCAAGTTTCATACACTAATAATAACATTCATTGTTTATGGCGTCCATGTCACTTAACAGGGAGAAGACTTGAGTAGAATAATAAAAGATAATAAATACGATGTTTTAGATTTAGAATATATTTTTTTTTTAGTTTTTTAAATTTAAAAATTTTATTTTATTTTTATATTCAAATTTTGTTTAATATCTATCAAATATTATTGCACAAAATTTATTTATTGATGTTCATGTAAGTAAAAAAATATTATATTAAATTTAATTAACATTACATAATTATTTAAATTTATTATTATCATATATAGTATTAGTAACTCGAGAAATTAAAAGAAGATATTTTAAAGTTTAAAGAATTAAAAAGACCAAATTTAAATTTAAAGAATTAAAATAAATTTATTATAAATTTGAGAGACTTAACATATTTAAACAAATAAAATTAGCATCATTCAAATCTAACATTTTAAAGCTGAAATACGTTTATACTTTAATTTATTTCTTTAATATATAATTTATATTTGATTTATTTAAGTCAAATTATACTAATAGCCTATATTGTAATCAACAAATTAAAAAAAAAATACAATTGAAAAGAAGGAATATATATATAT